AGACACACAGAGAGAGAGAGAGAGAGAGAGGCAGAGAGGCAGAGACGCAGAGACGGGCTGAGGGAGAAGCAGGCTCCAGGCAGAGGGCCTGACATGGCACTCAATTCTGGGGCTCTAGGATCAGGCCCTGGGCCTGAGGTGGCGCTAAACCGCTGAGCCACCCGGGCTGCCCAAGAAACAATTTTTTTTTTTCTACCCCAAGAAACAAGTTTTAAGAATTATCTAGGAACAGAACTTTGTGTGTGGGGGCTGGAGAGGGGAGGGGTCAAAGATGACTCTCAGAAATTTGCTTGAGTACATGGAAAATAAAACGAATGGGTACTATTACCATTACATGTTTCATCTGTGGTTCTAAACAATTTTGTTATATGTGTTGATATTGTTTTCTTTGTATTTCTTGGGTTCAGGCTTACTGAACTTCTTGAATATTTCAGTGTATAGATTTTCATCTAATTTGGATAAATTTTGGCCATTAAAATATTTTTTTTCTCTTTTCTCCATTGGGGGATAGAAATTCTCTTTGCTCATGGAAACACTGCTCACTCACTCATGCTCACTTGCTCTGTAGTTTAGCTAGTTTTTTTTCTTTTCCCCTCTTGTGTTCTGTTTTCTATTTCTGTGTTCTGTTCTAGTTTCTATTGCTCTTTTTTTTTTTTAAGATTTTATTTATTCATTCATGAGAGACAGAGAGAGAGAGGCAGAAAACAGAGAGAAGCAGGTTCCATGCAGAGAGCCCGATGTAGGACTTGATCCCAGGACCCCAAGATCATGCCCTTGGCTGTAGTCAGGCGCTCAACTGCTGAGCCACCAGGCATCCCTTTATTGCTTTTTCTTCAAGTTTGCGTTTTTGGGGGCAATATCTAACCTACTGCTAAATCTGTCTAGTGCATTTCTCTCCTTAGATGTCTTGAGTTGCTTGATTTGGGTCTTTTTTTATATGCAATGTCTCTGCATAACTTTTGGTTATATAATATAAAATATATTTGTAGAATACAGATTTAATGTCTGCTGAGTCTAACATTTATGTCAGTTCTGGTTGGTTTCGATTAATTGATCCCCCCCTTCCCTTCATGAGTATATTTTTCTGCCTTTTTTGCATGCCTAGTAATCTTCACTTGGATGTCAGACATTGTAAATTTTTACCTTGTTAAGTACTGAATAGTTTTTGTAGTTATTTGGGAATACTTTGAGTCTTTCGGGTCTTTAAGGTTTGTTAGGTGGGACCAGTGTAGCTTAGAGTCTAGGCTAATCTGTAAACCTGTAACATAGTTTTTTTTTTTTTTTTAAGGGTTTTATTTATTTATTCATGAGAGATAGAGAGAGAAAGAGAGAAGCAGAAGCAGAGACAAGGGCAGAGGGAGAAGCAGGCTCCATGCAGGGAGCCGGATGTGGGACTCGATCCTAGGACTCCAGGATCACGCCCTAAGCCAAAGGCAGACGCCCAACTGCTGAGCCACCCGGGGTCCCTGTAACATACATTTTGTCTTAACTCACTCTTCTGTTGTGAATTCTTCGTCTTTTATTAAAATGTAAATATGGAGTTTTCTACATGCATAGAACATGCATGTTAAGATCTTTGTGTATGCCAGTCACTGTTTTAAAGCTTTTATGTGTATTAAGTCATTAATCCTCATAACGTTATGAAATAGATTCCAGTATGTTAATATTATATATAAGGAGAATGAAGCACATAGGGATTAAGTGACTTCCCTAAGGTTATGCAGCCTGTAGATAATACAGCTAGAATTCAGACTCAAAGAAGTCTTGCTTTGTAGCTCATCATCTGAGTTAGTACTATCCTAAATACTTGATAAACAGTGCAGGATAATTAAAAGGAGCTCCATGAGATTTCTATTAGTTTTGTCCCACCTTTATTGAGATGAAATTTTTACATTTCCCCCATTTTTAAAAAATATTTTATTTATTTGAGAGAGAGAGAGAGAGAGCGAGAGAGAGAATGAGGAGGGGGGAGGGAAGTGGGAGAAGCAGAGGCCCTGCTGAGTAGGGAGCCCAACACAACTCGGGGCTGTATCCCAGGACCCTGAGATCATGACCAGAGCCAAAGGCAGATGCATAACTGACTGAACCACCCAGGTGCCCCAACATTTGATATTTCTAGTATATATCTACTACAGTATATATATCTAGTATGTATCTAGTATATATTATTGTATATTTCAGAAGGTTCAGCACATTGAATTTCTTGTTGGTATAAATGCGGAGTGGGAACCATTGGAGGGCAAAAAACCATTATCTTTCTATCTTTAAAGCCAGTGTTCTCCAGTGACCATCAGGAACACACTGATAGCTGAACATGTTGTGTTTAGGAGAAAGCTTGTATCACTCAGAATGGTAGGGATCTAAGTGGGTGTTAGAAAGAACTTATTATAAAAAAAAAAAAAGAACTTATTATAGAATTTGGGCTTGCTGATTTGGGAGAGTGTCAAGGAAGCAGGCTTTCCTCTGGATTAAGTCTGTCAGGAAGAAAGTGGGGCAAGTCTATGACTGGATATCTTAATCTTACCTAGAGGACTGAAGGAACGAAGCAAGGCCAAAGCTGTCATTCATATTAGCTCAAATAAGGGGATATTTAGTCATTTTTGTGGTTTGAAAAAAAATTTATAATTTGTATATGTTCGGACATGATTGCAGAGTGGTTTTATTTCTGTCTTGATCCATTGTGGTCAGAGTGGCCTCATCTGATGTTGGTGTTCTATGAAATTGTTTATGTTCAGCAGAACCACAGGGCCTTACTATGAGTGCCAGGTCAGTTCCTAGCTGTTGGGATTCTTTTCTTTTAGTAATTTAATTTTCCATATGTAAACTATGGTTCATTGCAGGAAAAAGAAAGTGAGAAAACATACTTAAAGCCAAAACAAAAAAAAAAATAAATTCAAGAAACAAGAAACAAAAACCAAGATTTACTGCCTAATATTCGTCGAATATCTTTGCACTTTTTTATCCTTATTTATATAATATTTTATAGATGTGAAGTTATATTATTCATGCATTTTTTAAAAAAGATTTTATTTATTTATTCATGAGAGACACACAGAGAGGGGGCAGAGATAGGCAGAGCGAAAAGCAGGCTCCATGCAGGAAGCCCGATGTGGGACTTGATTCTGGGACTCCAGGATCATGCCCTGGGCTGAAGGCAGATGCGCAACTGCTGAGCCACTCATGAGCCATCCGTCATGTATTTATTTTTTACCCTAAAGATTTATTGTGACTGTCATTTCATTGGAAGTATGTGGCTGTTGTACATAGAGAATTTTGGAGTTGGTTTCTCAGTCTTTGTTACAGTAAATTGAGATATTTATCTGTACATGACATCTGAAGAAGTTACAGAATAACGTGTAAATTTCTATGCCTTTGTAGTAAACAACATGCTTTTTAACACAGTTTTTAATAAAATGATTCACATTTAGTTTAAGTGCATATTGTTCTTGTCAATTCTGCATACAAGTCTTTGTGAAATCTAGGTGGGAAGCAGTACTTGTATGTCTCTGCATACCTGAAAAAGTAGGTATTTAGAATAAATCTCTTTACATTAGGTCATACAGTTTACCTGCATTAGGTGAGTAAGGTTAATAAGTTTTGTATATAATTTAAAAAAGCGCATTATATAAAAACTAGTAGCTGTATAATACTTTGGTAAATACTTTGAAATTTTCATCTGAAGATGTAAAGCTTTTTCAGATGTCATTTATCATTACAAAAATTGAATTAGAAGCATTTATATTCTTTCTCAGGCATCAGGTAAATATGTGTACATTTAAAACTTATATTTTGGCTTTTTTCCTTTTGTTTTTTGCCAGTTTTCTTGAAAAAAAAAAAGTGCTTAACTCTTGCTTACACTTTCACCTCTTATCCCTTTGTTCCACCTGAAAGCCTCCAAGAGCTTTGAATTGTTGAGCAAATAGAAAAATTAATTTTAGTATCAGAGGAAGGTGAAGGTTGCAATTTTTGAGTAGATTTGAACTAAGACTGCTAATCATCTGTTTGCTTTTTTTTAATGTACCATTTGTGTTGATATAAAAAAAGAACTTGAAATTCTTTTTTTTAAATATTTTATTTATTTATTCATGAGACACAAAGAGAGGGAGAGAGGCAGAGTCACAGGCAAAGGGAGAAGCAGGCTCCATGCAGGGAGCCCGATGTGGGACTTCATCCCGGGACTCCAGGATCACGCCCTGGGCCAAAGGCAGGCGCTAAACCGCTGAGCCACCAGGGCTGCCCTTAAAACAATTTCTAATGCATGTTAAGTAACCTTTAAAATTAACACTTAAAATTAATTTTTTTCTATGAGATTTACCATAATGTGTAACTTATGGTAGATTTATATTTGTATATTTATACTTGTGATTGTTGGTAAAGACCTTTTATATGCTATATGCCATGCTGGAGGAGGGCAGTGTCTTGTCTTTAGAGACTTTCCAATTTATTAGACACAGGAGAGAGGTGTGTGTGTGTGTGTGTGTATACTGCAGTGTTGAAGTACAAGCATACTTTGAGATACAATAGGTATCAAAACATTGTGTGGGAGTACCAGAGATTGAATAATTAACATTTTGGATCAAGAAAGACAATGTTATATAGGAATTACAGCATTCTTTTTTGTTTAAATCTAGAATTAAAATTATAGACATGTTAGGCAAAATTGTATTTAAAAGTTTTTTGGGGCAGTCCGTGGCTCAGCGGTTTAGTGCCACCTTCAGCCCAGGGCATGATCCTGGAGACCCAGGATCGCATCCCAGGTCGGGCTCCCTGCATAGGCTTGCTTCTCCCTCTTCTTGTGTCTCTGCCTCTCTCTCTCTCTCTGTCTCTCATGAATGAATACACAAAATCTTTAAAAATAAAATAAAAGTTTTTTATGTTAAAAGTAGGTATTTTTCTTTTAATTAGTATTTGTTTTCAAGCTATCTGCTATTTCATTCGTTAAAAGTATGCAATTGCTTTTTCCCCTCATTTTTATCTTTCCTTTTTTTTTTTTTTGACAGCTTTTCACAGATGGAATCACAAATAAACTTATTGGCTGTTATGTGAGCAATACAATGGAAGATGTAGTCCTGGTGCGAATTTATGGCAATAAGACTGAGTTACTGGTTGATCGAGATGAGGAAGTGAAGAGTTTCCGAGTGTTACAGGCTCATGGCTGTGCACCACAACTCTACTGTACCTTCAATAATGGACTGTGCTATGAATTTATACAGGGAGAAGCATTGGATCCAAAGCATGTCTGCAACCCTGCCATATTCAGGTATATTTCTTTTTGTAAATAATTTATCTTTTTGAAAAATAAGAGTATTAAGTGCTCTAACGAAATATTTTTTAAAACTGTCTTTTCTTCCTTTGAGCAACTATTTGGTTAACTTAGAAACTTTTTTTAGTTAGGGTTCTGTTTTGTTTTTCCTGAAGAAAGAAAATCCTTTCTGTCTGCGTCTCATCGTTGAGTCTTTGTAAAAGAAAGGACTGTGAGATGTGGTTTTAGATTAGCCTGCTGCAGTGTCAAGGCTTCCCCTTAATTTTTTATTTTATTTATTTATTTTACTTTATTTCTTTACATTTAGATTGAATTAATTAACATAGTTTCAAAGTAGAGTTCAGTGATTCATCAGTTGTCTGTAACACCTGATGCTCATTATATCACGTGACCTCCTTAATGCCTATCGCCAAATTACTCTCCCCACCACCCTCCTCTAGTAACCCTGTTTGTTTTCTGTGATTAAGAATCTCTTACGGTTTGTCTCCCTCTCTGATCTCGTCTTGTTTTATTTTTCCTCCCTTCCCCTGTGCTCCTCTGTTTTGTTTCTTAAATTCCACATGAGGGAAACCACTGATAATTGTCTTTGCTTAGCATGATACCCTCTAGTTCCATCCACATAATTGCAAATGGCAAGATTTCATTTTTTGGTGGCTGAGTAATATTCCATTGTGCGTGTGTGTGTGTGTGTGTGTGTGTGTGTATTATTACACACACACATATATATGTGTGTGTTTGTGGGTATATATATATACACACCACATCTTTATCCATTCATCTGTCAATGGACATCTAGGCTCTTTCCATAGTTTGGCTGTTGTGGACATTGCTGCTGTAAATATTTGGGGTAAATACCTAGTGCAATTGCTGGGGGACTCTATTTTTAACTTTGTGAGGAACCACTGTTTTCCAGGTGGCTGTACCAGTTTGCATTCCCACCAGCAGTGTAAGAGAGTTACCCTTTCTCTGCATCCTCACCAACATTGGCATCCTCACTAACATTTGTTGTTTCCTGACTTGTTAATTTTAGCCATTCTGACTGGTGTGAAGTGGTCCCCTTAATTAAAAAAAAAATTTTTTTTTTTAAAGATTTTCTTTATTCATTCATGAGAGACACAGAGAGGAGAGAGGCAGAGACACAGGCAGAGGGAGAGGCAGGCTCCATGCAGGGAGCCCGACGCGGGACTCGATCCCGGGACTCCAGGATCACGCCCTGGGCCGAAGGCAGGCGCTAAACCGCTGAGCCACCCAGGGATCCTGGTCCCCTTAATTTTTTAAAGTAGTGCTTGGATTAAAGCATTACACATTTCTTACTACTAACTTTTATAATTCAGTTGCTCATATTTTTCGGAGTTTTTGCTAAGATTCTTTCAATTCTGTTAATACTGTTACTTTTTAAACTTTTTATTTAATTCAGTGTACTATGTTACTTGTAAAACTTTAATTCAGTGTATTATGTTTTCTGTAAGAAAAATTTGTTGCATATGCTATATCGTTTTTCCAAAATTAGTTTTTTTAATTACTGTTTTTTATATTTCTCTTTCTGCTCTAAAAAACTAGTAAATGAGCTTGATTTAAAAACTGCAAATTCAAAAAAAAAAAACCTGCAAATTCATTCATAGTTTCAACCAGAAGTTCTCAAACATTTTGTTCTCCAGATCCCTTTACAACTCCAGATTATTGAGGGCTTAGAGTTTTTGTGAGTTTTATTTATCAATGTTTACCATATTAAAAATTAAAACGTTTTTTGAATATAAGAATATCAAGCTCACATTATTAGCTGTCAGTGTGATAACATTATCACACATGTAACTTCTTGAAAACTACACCATGTACTCATGAGAGAATTAGTTTAAAAGGTAAATGGTATCTTATGAAAGTAGTTTTAACTTCATAAATCTGAATAGATTTGAGTCTGTAGGGATCCTGGATCATATATATATTTTTAATTTAATTATTTGAGAGAGAGCAAGAGAGAGCATGAGCAGGGGGAAGGACAAAGGGAGAGGACTGAGAAGCAGACTCCTCACAGCAGGGTGCCTGATGCAGGGCTCCATCCCAGGACCCCTGGATCATGACCTGAGCTGAAGGCAGTTGTTTGACTGAGCCACTCAGGCGCCTCTTCTTTTTTCTTTCTTCTTTTTTTTTAAAAAAATTATTTATTTGAGAGAGGAGAGCCTGGATCACATTATAAAGTTGCTTTGTTAACACACTGGTGAAAATGGAGTAGAACAGTATTTTAACTGGTTTCAATAGTATTTAAAAATACTTTGGCAGAGAAATCTATTTACTCAAACCCCAGTTTTTAACCAGATAGTCTTTTTCCTTATGCGAGTGTACTGTTTAGAATATATTGAAGGACCTGATTAATAGATATTATGTTTTTTCTTATGTGTCACATTTTTTTGGTCTTTAGGTTTGTGTGCGTGTCTGCATCAGATTTATTTATAAATCCTCAGTTTTTTAAAAGATTTTATTTATTTATATGAGAGAGAGAGTGAGTCAATGAGAGAGTGAGAACATGGGCAGAGGGAGAGGGAGAGGCAGACTCCTCTGCTGAGTAGGGAGCCTGACATGGGGCTTAGTCAGCTGAGTCACCCAGGCTCCCTCGTAAATCTTCAGTTTCGTTCACAATGTTTGAGATACATCTATATAACAGGATTAAAAGTGATTAGATGCACAAATTAGGTCAAAGGAAAAGCTGGAGTTAGATTCAGATACAAAAAGTATATTCCATAAGATTGTTAGAGAAGGGCCATATGAGCTTCCTAGTAACTAAAGCAGGGAGAAAAATGTTAGTTTTAAGAGTCAATGTCCAAAAGATTTAAGAAGAAAATTGCTTAGGGTCTATAACCATTTTTACTGGTGTAGGCATTTTTTTTTTAAGATTTTATTTTTTATTTATTCCTGAGAGACACAGAACGAGAGAGAGAGACAGAGACACAGGCAGAGGGAGGAGCAGGCTCCATGCAGGGAGCCTGACGTGGGATTCGATCCCTGTCTCCAGGATCAGGCCCTGGGCTGAAGGCGGTGCTAGACTGCTTAGCCACCCGGGTTGCCCTGGTGTACCCATTTTAATTGCTTTGTGAAACCCATAGTTTATTCATTTGATGTTGACATTCTTATGCTGTCTTTAACACACAAAATTTAAACTTCCATTTGAACTATTGGCAGTGGGTGCTGTTTGCTGGTCAAAAAGTTCACATTCAGGAGGTTTTTCTCTTGATTGATATTGGAGGTCTAGGGCAGTTTTTTTCTCTTTTAGTGATTGTGGAAAGTTATAAAATCTAAAGCCACGTGAAATTCTATATATGGCATTATATCTCTGCCACTAAGGATACACAGTGAAACCAGACTGCTTCAGACTTACCAACTATGTGAATTTGGGGTTATTACTTAAAACATTTTGTGTTTCAATTTCCTTATCTAAAAAATGAAAATAATAGTATTTACTTCTAGGGTTGTTGTAAGGATTAAAGTTGTTAGTATATGTAAAGAGTTTAGAACAATACCTGGCACCATGTAAATGTTAGCTTTTATAATTATTATTTTTTTTCTGCAAGACTTTTCATATTTTATGTGACTTAAGCAGAGCTTCTAACAACCTGGACAAGAAAGTATTAAAGTACTTAGGCAAATTATGGACGTTATAAATCAGTTGACTTTATTATGCTTTTAGAGACATTTTCTGAATTTTGAAATTCACAGGTTTTTTGCTTTTGTGTACTATTTATTATAATATGTAGTATTCCTTAAGACGTACGCAAGCAGCATGTGGATGTAGCATACCAAGTAACTTATTGCTACTAAACCCCCCTTCTTGTTTGTGACAGACAAAACTAACCAATCTTGGAGTTCTTTAGTTCTGAACATAGATGAGATTTCAGAATCTTACTCAACTAAGTGATTTTATGTATTAACTACCCATGAGTAGTCCTCTTTTTGGGGTTTTTCTTTTAATTGCCTCAAGGAGACAATTTTGTATTAAAAAGTCAAGATTTTATTTTTAGTTGATCCTAAAGGAAAAGGTAGTAATGGGTATGTTACAGTTCTTATTAATTAGAGAAATTGTCAAACTGATGATGGTGGCTAATACTGATACAGCGCTTAATATGGGCAGGACACTTTTGAACACTGTGTGTGTGTGTATTTTTAAAGATTTATTTTAGAGAGAGAGTGGTAGGGGAGGAGCAGAGGGAGAGAGAATCCCAAGCAGACTCCCTGCTGAGTACTGAACCTGAAGCAGGTTCCATTTCACAACCCTGAGATCATGACCTGCTTGAGCCAAAACCAAGAGTCAGAAGCTCAACCACTGAGCCACCCAGGCTCCGCTATATCTATATTTTATTTATTTATTTTTTAAAAGAGATTTTATTTATTTATTCATGAGAGAGAGAGAGAGAGAGAGGCAGAGACACAGGCTGAGGGAGAAGCAGGCTGCAAGGAGCCCAATGTGGGTCTTGATCCCGGATCATGCCCTGGGCCAAAGGCAGATGCTTAACTGCTGAGCCACCCAGGTGTCCCTATGTATATTTTAATATTTTTTTTATTAAGTAAATTATGCTTGAACTCATGACCCCGATATCAAGAGTTACATGCTCCACTGACCGAGCCAGCCAGGTGCCCCAAAATATTTTATGTATATTAATAAATTCAACTCATAATAATTCCAGGGAATAGATAATGTTAAGATCTCACTTTAATAGATGAGAAAAGTAAGGTGTAAAGATTTTAAGTAATTTGCCTAAGGTCATGTGGCTAAGTGAAAGTATATCCCCCAAAATAACAATGAGTAAATCTTTTTACTTACTGAGAAAAGATCATAAAATGTAAGGAAAATAGTAAGGCCATTGTTACATCACATAGAGAAAGTTACATGAAAATTTGTAGAATTGAAGTGAAAAGATCAAGAAAATTAATGCAGACTTTATCCTATTAATTGATTTGTGATTATTCTTCATAATTAAATAATTGTCATTAAGTTTACTATACAATTT